ATTACTTTAAATAAAATCAAAAAACTTTAATCGAGTCATGTAGAAGTTTGAAAGTAAAAAAATCATAATGTTGTTAAATACTTTCTTGCAAAAATTTTTTTTCCCGAATTCAATCTTTTTCTGTAATATTTTACAAAATATATATATGTAAGCTCGCATATTTTTTTTTTTTTTCAAATATTAGAAATATATATTTTAAAGATCTTTGCGCTTACTAGTGCTTTCTTGAAAACAAATTGAAATTTCTATCCACCAACCTCGTAATAAACTTTCCACATTGGTTTCTCCCACACAAATTAAACACATTTCATAAAGTTTTAAAATTGATGTTGGAAATTTTTTCTTTCAAATTTATGCGCCATTAAAAGTATATTCCGCGCAGAATTTTCGCATAAAATATTTACTTATTTTAATTTCGAAATAGAGTTGTTTTGAAAATTTCTTTATTATATGATTGCTTTTAGTGGATCGAGAGAGGGGAGACAAATTTTAACGGCCACTAAATTTTATTTTATGACTATATGCAGCTATTTAACGACGCCTGAGTTTGAAAACGAGCTCAAAATACATAACAATGTAGTTGCGCGCAGACATCGAGGGGGCGTATGAGTGATTTAGGTTAGAACAAACAAACATTGGTACGTTGTTATGTACTCGTATGTAAGCATGTGAAGCTGCAGTTTGGCTCATTCGATAGTAGTGGTCTTCTTAGTATTTGAAAATTAAAATAGTTTCATACATATACATATATGTATGTGTACTCCTTTTCGTCTCATAATGAGACAAATTCAAATGTAGGACATTTTCTGCACACAAATACACTTAAGTCTACGACAATATATATATATGAGTACATATATGTATTTTCAAAACGATTCCCTTTGGTGCAAATCTTTGCTATTATGTGGTGGCCACATCTAAGAGCATTTCTTGTGGTCGTTTTAATTACTAGTCAAACACTTCAAGATTCCAAAAGTGCTGTTGCATGTAGCCTTTTCATTGTCAAATTATTGAATGGCAAGTGTTGGTGTTTACGCTAAAGAGGCTGCAATCAAATGTTACATATGCGTTAAATACACGTACATATAAAATTTTCCTTACTTGTGCACTTTGTACAACTTAACCACTAAAACTTTCTTAATTGCTTCACCACAATGGCGTAAAGTTTATGCTATGATAATTACCATACAAAAACAAAACAATGTAGGAATGCTTCTATGCTCATTTAAAATGTTAAAAAGGTTGCAGCACTGGTGAGACATTCTATTTACCAGCCAACGATACTAATTTGTTAAGTAATTTCAGGAAGTTTTGTAATTATAATTCCTGCTGTTCAAAGCTAGGCAAGTTACTTGTTAGGAAGATATCTTAAAATTTATATCACACAGGAATTAAAACAACTATATTGAATTCAAAGTTTAATATTATATAATATATCTAACAGAAACTATATAATATTTACTCTTTTTAATTTAAGTAAATAATGTTCACAATTTCAGCAATTAATTCTACAATTAAATTAAAATTTTTATATATATACTTGTATGGGAATAAATTTCTGCTCGCATTGCCGTAGCAGCGCACTTTCCTTGAATACATACAAGGCACAGACACAAGTGTTGGTATTAAATCAAATTCTTTTGTTGTTGTTGCACATATTTACTTAAGTGCACAGACAACAAAATTCACCGCAACCGCAAAACAATCACTTCTATTTCATGTATACACTTTTGTCTTATTTGCGCTAATACTTAGGTGAAACTTATGCAAAGAACATATCAGTAAGTAAACAATATAATCCCATAACCATACTAAAACAACCGAGATAAATTTTCAAAATTATCTGAAGAATAGTGGTATGAGATGGTTGATAAAAAAAATAGCAAAATTTCGCTTGGCTGGAGAAGTTTTATCTATAATTGACGCATTGAAATGATTTATGGCCTACCTGCTCCTTCAATTGCTTTCTTCTGCCTTAAAGTTTTGCTATCAAATAGCGGCGTCTATCCTAAATATATTCTTTTCTAAGCTGTTTTAAACTTGTATTTTGAGCTTTTGAGTTCATGACAGAAATCCAATCGGAGGGCTTGACATTCCATGCCGTGGAGTGACCGTAGTTAGAAAAATTAATTTAAAATATTTTTTTTATAGTTTTTGAATCTTGATCTGTACACTAATACATTTCGCATGACAGAAAGCACGTTTGTCTAATGAAAGTGCTTTATATAGGGTGATTTTTTAAGAGCTATAAGAGCTATAGAAATGTCACATAAAATTCAGAAAAATACAAGAAATCTTTATTTGAATAGATGGTATGGTCCATATAATTTAATGTTTGCAGGTTCATAATATCATATCATGCAAAAAACCGTGACTGCGCCTCAAATGGTCACGGTAGCGCTCACCATTCACAGTTATGTGTAGATTCCCATCATCTTTGAAGAAATATGATCCAATTGGTAGCTCTTGCAATGCTTCTGGCTGATCTTCACTTCAAAATCGACAGGAAATACGCAACCGTTAAATCAAAAATGAGCTTGAAGCGCTGTGAACTTTCTCATTAGATGTAGCTTTGAAGCAAATTACTAATTAAAAAATTAACTATTATATTATATATGATATATCAAACTCTTTTCCTGACGTGACAGACAAACGCAGCCTAAACTTCTCATCGCAAAAGGACTGAAACTTACTGGTCTTACTCTATGTATGGAACAGGCAACTGATAATAAATTATTTTATTTTCATTTAATAGCAAAATGTTTGAATTATTGAAACATTAAATTTACTTGTGATTTGTGTGGAAAAACCTTTTGGTTACATCGAAACGCTTGCCTTGTCAGCTTAATCGGAAAATGCAATTAAATGAAGTAGGCGCAACGATGATTTTAATGAATTTTTTTGGTGCCTTATCAGAATATACAATTTCCGCAATTTTTTCTTGAATTCTATAAATGTAACTTGCGGTTTGTATTTCAATTAATCCACAATTATTTTTGCAAATCTTGGCGATTTTCCGCTGTGATTGTTTGATATCTTCATTTTGCGGTTTTCTTTGTCTTGTCACAGATAAGTAAACATACATATATATGTGATTTTTTAAATGAAATAATAATTTAATTTCTTAATAGCGTGATGTTTATTGGAAAATAATTAAAATTGCGTTTGATTAATTTTGTTGCTGTTGTTGTATAAACAAATATTTAAAAACTGTTCTTAAAGTGCGTGTTTAACTTTGTTTCCGTAGAAGCAAATGTCGGTGATAAATGTTAGTGAAAGGTATAGTACTTAAATTTAACTTAAATATATTTTTTTCATTTGCTGGGATTGTATTCTAAAAAGACGGTGCTGTGAGCCATTTTCATTGATTCTTACCGAATTTTATGAAATTAATACTAACCTTCAATGACATAATCTTGAGCGTCTGTCATTTCGGCAGCACTGGGCGGAGAAAATTTAATTATATATAAATATGCGGATGTATACACACTTGACTGTTTGAACTCATCACTTGCGATTCAACAGGGTTTACTTATCTGGTTGACGCATATGTGAAGCAAAAGTGCGGGATTGATGGCTTAAAAATTACACTTAGGATCACATCACCACCCCACTACTATCTTTCAAATTGAGGCTGAGGAACAAGAATTAATAACTAGAGTAAGCTATGAAGCTAAGTTTTTAACATGCCACAGGGTCTGCGTCATTGTAACCTCAAGAAAACCCTGAATTATACATGTCAGCTGTAAGAAACTCTGGATTTAACGTTGAAGATCAGAAACTCTTGGCTTTTCGATTGAAGTACGTTGTTATTGATATGAATGGATGTGTTGTCCGATTCGGAGTAGTCATAAAGGTTATATATTGTATTTCAGGCATTCTCGCTATTTAGTCTGTACCGCAGAGTTCCAATTTCTAGTAGAAGGCACTTTTTAATATTAATTGAGTTGGGTTTGAGGGATTTTTTTGAAATGGCCGTCAATGTTTTTAACCCAAAGTTGTCGAGTCGCATCTTTGGAGTATTTAACTCAGGCGTTGGCCATCCTGCCGAATCAAACTTAAATTTATATTTAACTCTACGTTAAGGTGTGGAGCTTAGATTTAATCTCTTCAGCCAGGAATATAGTTGTTCGTGCTTTGAATCGTTTGGGGTGTCGAAAAGTAACTGAGAAATTTCGTATCAATTTCTTACAGCTTTTCTAGTCAACTCATTTCTAAAAAATTTTGGTTGGATTTGCGTAGCTTCTCTTCGTGTTTTCATCTTCAGTTAAATCCCATTTCTGTTGGAAAATCACTACAGCACCGGTAAAGCACCAGTTGTGTGTGCGAGATATGTTCAAGAAATGGTAGCGTCTGTTCTGTTTATGTTAGTAGATATGACACTGAAATATTATAAAACTTACAGTTTTTTTCATTGTTGACATTATCAGCTACTACCACAAAGGTGAGGCGTACTTTTATGGGCTCGGTGATGTTCCTAAATATGTACTTGTATACACTCACATATATCTATTCATGTGTTATTTATTTTGGGTTTAATGACAATTTTTTCTTTCTACATACCCTGCTACAGACCAATGACTAGATAATGAATATTCACCATATTCTCCATGGAATATGTAACAAGTAGGCGATTCGGGAAGGTGTTGCTGCGTTTGAGTTTTAGACTGTGCTAGGAGTTGTGAAGTAACTGTACATACAAGAGTAATAATAACAATTTTATTAATTCTTTACGATTTTTCACCTTGAAACTCGAATGGATTATAGAATAAAATTAAAACAAATATGTTATACGGATATTACTGCTGTTCTTAATGTAAACATTTTTTTTTGGTCTATTTTAACAAAAACTAAACAATAGAATCAATTTAAAAAGCATAAATCCGTAATTTGATATTCTATTTGTAATGGTCACGAATCAAATTTTTAGTAATAAATTTTAATAAATAAATTTTCATTTTATATAAAAATATTTTAATTCCCTTTTGAATTGATTTCAGGTTGTCAGCTGTAATCTAAGAAAATGTGAAATCATTCGGTGCTACCTAAAATTTCTAGACTCAAGGTAAGAAAAGAAAAATATTATTGAGCAAATTTAATCATAAAGAACATATTTATTTATTTAAAATTATTGATAAAATATCCGTACACAAAGAAATTGGATTACTTTCAGGCAAACGAGGGAAATGCAGTTTCAAATAAACTTTTATTAAAAGAATTTCAGATTTCAAAAAATATGAGCGACAAGAATTTGCAAAAAAATTAAATGTTAAAAATATTAATTTCAAAACTGCTTGTGATTAGACTACACAGGGTTATTCTCTTGCTGGTTTTGAAAATAAATTTAAATAAATGCTTCTTTTTTTTTAATTTGTTTTCATAAAATTCTATGTTTATTATGAAGTTTGAACCTTAGCATTTTATACGAAACACTACAACACCCAAACATTTGACACCGTCAAGACAAGAGATTACGCGGCCGTTTTTCTTTCCCATAATGAGGCCATATTCGCTCGTTCACTGGCTGTTGTTCAAACATCCACCCAATTGGCGTATCGGTCAGCTGGCTTGTGTTGTTGTGCTAGGCGGACTTTACTGGCTATGTTGTTGTTGTGCTAATAATTTTAAGAAATGTCTAACTTTTAGCTAAAACACAACATTTTTTGCTTGACATTTGAGTTAAAAATATGTCTTGCACTTTTGAAACCTTGAAATGGGTGACCCTATACAATAGCTTTGAGTATAATAAATATTCAAATTTATTTGAATTTTAAATTCTGTCAATCAAGTGTAAGGCACCAAAGTAAAATCTCATAAAGGGCATATGGCAATTCATAGAGCGTTGAAATGAAAATAAAGCAGAATATACGTATGTACGTGTGCATGATGGTGTGCAATAGTGAATTGTGTTGATGCAGAATTAGAATTAGAAACGAATGTCATGATATGTTTGAGAAAAGGGCAACAGTGGTGAAAGGCAACAGCTCTGCCCATCAACGGCAAAGTGAAAAGTGTCTGATGTTAGTGCAAAATGCGTGCTGCAGAAGCGACATGTAGTGAAACTTGAGGCAAAGCTGTAAAAAAGCAAACACTGATATACACATACTCATGCATACATAGTACTCGTATATACACCAATGGCAAAGCTAAATGCAATACTTGCAACCGAAACTATGGTAAAAGAAAAATATCAACAACTTCAAGATAGATAGCGGTTGAGCTAGTTTCTAAGCCAATATTTGTATGAATCTGTACGAGTGTATGTATATTTTTGTGTTTGCATCTCAAAGTGTGTACGAGTGTGCATCATGTTGAGGCAAATTGAATAGACTTGGTCATACAGCACACAGCAAGAGTGCATAAGCCACTGAAGAGGGAGATTGAGAAATGAGCATAGCAGAAGTCAAGGACCAAAAAATATACAAACAAAACACAAAGAATATTCATAGGCAACTGTAAGGGCCCCTAAAATGCCGCTAACCAACCGCAACTCACTTTAATTTAAACAGACAGTTTTACATCTTTTGTGGTTTTGTGATGTTTGTACAGTTACTTTTTGGGGTGGTTTGTGTGGCATGAAAACTTTTGCTATGTACGCACTGCGTTGTGTACATATTTACATTGCGAAATTTACTTTCTTGATAAATGCGTGCATGTATATGTGTGCTAATATGCATGCACGTGTGTGTGTGTGTGTATGTATGCATATATAAAAGGGTGGTTCATTTTATATGCACCGACTTTTTCAAACCTTACTCATCGAAGATTCACGTCGCTTATAACAAGCCAAACAGAAATGCATGAGAAACATTCAACGAGGGGTGAGTTATTTATGCATAAATGTGTGTGAAATTCGAAAAATCCACATACAAATATAAAAATCGCGCGCCACCTTAAGTTCTATATTTCCATATATGTATGCATGCATGCTTGTATTTGTGTCTATATATGAGTTTATATATTCTTTTGAATAAAAGTAACTAATCTTTCTGTTGTCTGTATCAACATGTCCTTATTTAAGGAAACCCCTAACGCCTTTGACATAAATATTTCTTCTAAATATAAATATTTATTTATAATATACTCACACACTTTTGTAGGTCATGGCTCTCTTGTGCGAGTACATTTAAATTCAAAAGTAAAACATTTAACGTCCATATTTGAGATTTTCAATTTGAGTTATGTTGGAATTTGAGTTTCAGTCGCGGTTTTAAAATATTTTTGGTTTAGTAAAGACATTTCGGTTTTTATAAAAATATAAAAATTAAAGTAGATGGTTTAGGAAAGTTTTCGTAAGCACTTAGTGATATTACGTACGTCATCTTTTACTTCTGATGTCTTTACTCGAGACTTACTTATTCGACTACGTCACGCACCCTGCCAGCGTGGAACAGAAATGCTGCAAGCCCAACTCAATGCTGAATAGAGGCATCTTCACTGCAGTTCAACCGAAATATCACACTTGAAGATCGAAAGAATTTTAAAACAATTTTCAAAAAGATCACGATGCTGTGACTGATGATCTTTAAGAGGGCAGAGCCTGGCTGGCATTAAAAAAAAGCAGCAAATAAATTTTTTACAAAACTGCTATTGGGAAAGACGTTGTGTTGAAAATGGATGATTTAATAACAAGCGATAATAAAAATAAAAATCCTTCAATCTCTTTCTTCTTAAATTCTCTTGGTATATCTTCCATACTAAGTTAATTTTTTTATTTTGCTATATATATACATACGTATAGGGACATACTAGATTATGCTAATACACACAGGTAAATAATTATTTTTAAATACGATGTTGTCACTGTGTATCTGTATACATGTTTACTTGCCCTAGGGAAGAGTCTATTTGTGTTTTAAGCACGTGTGCCTTTAGTTTGTGACATTAACTGCAGCCAAGCCTTGTATTTTCGATGTTGAGTTAAATAGGTCAAGTCCCTAGTGGGTTTTCTTTGCATGCAACCTACATACTTATAAATATATATGTATAACAAATTTAAATTTTGAGCAGTGAAAATGAGAATTTTATATTTAAAAAAATTAGCATGAAATGTAATGTAAATTTAAGTGACGAGTCATCCAATTTCTATTTGCATTTATTTGAATGCTTAATCATTGTCGCATTAGGACAATCCTGACCAAGCTCTCGAAGCCGCCGGCTAGCCTCTATCGATGCGTGTGGCCTGGCCCAGATGAAGTGCAATTCATCTGCTGTTGGTCTAAGCTAAACGCTTCTGGTTTTTTGCTTCCTTCACATTGTCTTTGGGTTTGACCGTTGGCGAGCAGCTTACAGTGGATGATCCCTTGCCTCTATCTACCAAACACAGATCAAAAAATTCTTCGTCAAAACTTTCAGGTAATAGGTATAATGACTTTTATAAATATGTATAAGTATAAAGAAATTAGAATTATCTGAACACATACAATGTTGGAAATACGAAAACAATTCAAGTCGAATTCACTGTCTTCGCAATGAAAGTTGAATTGACTTCGTTACAAAAAAAAAAAATGGCAAATATATTTGTACAAAAAATAACACAGAAAAATGTGTACATTTGTTTCGTATACTCTTATATAAACTTATATTAGATTGATTTGGTCCTCAAAAAAAAAACACACTACTTTAAGTGTGTAACGAAAATAAAGGCTCAGAATTCGGAAAATTTTCTAACAACCAAACAACTCAGACTGTTTACTGAGAAAAAGCCTTAAATTAAATTAGCGGCCTTCGGTATGTTCGTAAATTTATTTATACAACAGTCCATTCATACTTGTTCTGATTCATTTATTCATACATATGTAGTTGTTTACTCTGAAGGCCTTATAGCTCAATTTCGCAAACATAAATTAAAATTCAATTATTGACGCTGACAGTAGCAGACATAAGCTATTACGAAGAAGACAAAAGTCAAGGTAACACAGTGGGACAGATAAATTTAATATTTATCAGGCATCAATCATCACTATACCAGTTTTAACCTCTGATGTCTAAAAAGTTTAGAGCTGGTCAGAATTTTCTAAAAATCGGGTTTGTGCATTTTCTAAAATCAGTTAATTTTCAAAATTTCATCTAAAAATTTGAAATGAATCTAACTTTACCAGTCGATCGACTTGAGAGCTTCAGAAGACTTGTTTTAAATTTTGAATAGAATCGTAAAGAAACTCGATGCCTCTAAGTAAAAATTTATAAAAAATTTGGCAAAGTGAAAAAGATAACGTCTTCTTTTTTAATTTGGATAGTTTTAAACAAAAAGATTTTGTTTCTGGTCTAACAAATGTTAGATTAATTAAAAAAAATTGCTGGTCTCTAAAAATCACATCTTCTACTGTAGCAATACAAAAAGCTTATATTCCTAAAGTTTTCTAAATTTTCGCCAATTCAATTAAAGTTTTGCTGTATTGGTGCCAGATTTTATAAAATTCACTAATTACGGGGTAAGAAAATTATTGAGAATCCTCAACTATTATAAAACTAAATTTTTTTTTAAATAATATTATATGTCCGGGTTTTTTTGAAAGAATGGAAATACGCCAATATTGCGTGGTTAAGGTAGTTTTTAATGCTTTTTTGAGAATATTTCATGAAAAACAGATAAATTCAAACAGGTTCATTTTATAATACATAGAAAAAATTATATTATTTGTGATTATTATGTACACATTTTTTTGATATTTGTTGTTTGTAAGCACCAGAGTGAGTCTCTTTTAAAAAAAAAGTGATTTTATTGCTCTTTCTTTTGTTAATATATTATTTAAACACTTTGTAAAAACATTGCCACCTACAAACATTTGGCTGTGTATTTACCCACTGTACAATGAATTATACCATAAATTAAGTCCTCATTGAACGATTGATGCCTAACGTAGGTTTCTGTGTATGTACGTTATAAGTGCCTTCTATAAGAAAACTCTATATATATATATATATATATATATTTATATAAATACTCTTACACTCGAATTTTCTGAGCCCAATTATTGGGTAGACAAAAAACCAATACCGACAATCGCTCTTTGAATAATAAATTATAGAAACTTAAGATATGGCTCGAAGTAAATATATGTA